ATAGATGAGACTTACATGATTATAAACATTAGACAACCTTTTTATCAGTTGATAAGAAAAAGTGATAATTTTAAATACAATTGCTAGTTTTCAAATTCAATTCGTATTTTAGAAGATCCGACATATTCATTTTTTTTCTTCAATGAAAAAAAGAAAAGATATAAAAAACTGTTTCATTAGCGTTTATTTGAACTTGAACTGCGAAACATTCATAATATTATGAAAAGAGCACGTCCAAAAAATATTTGATTCATTTGCAACGTGATCTTTTGAAGAACAACCAATCTTTCAAGATATTTCAAATTGAATATAAAACTTGAAATTAAGAGTATGCTACACTGAATTTTTGTGGTTATAATGAAAATTTTATTAAGGGTATAGTTGTGGGTATAGATGTTAGTTTTCTCATCGCTCACATTCTCTTTCTACTAATGTATACCTTCTTCTACATGAATTTAATTATAGTTTTCATTTCAATATCATTACTCACTTTGATATCTCATTTGTCAAAGTTCTTCATTTCTATCATCTTTTTCCGCATTATTTATCTTGAAAATCCCAGTGAAGATGTACACTTTCAAGCCATTATTTATATCTCGTTGTGATGATGGAAAATATTAGTTTTATGTCAATGACGAACTTCACTATCGATTTTCATCATAAAATTAAGCATGACTGCTAATGTGTTTCTTTATTAGCAATATTCATCAATGACTTAAACAACAAGTCTTCGATCAACAGTGCATATTTGTAAGAAACTGAAAGAAGAACAAAACCTCTAGGTTACTTCACATTATTGAAATTCCAAATTGTAGTTCAATATAATATTGCTATCTGCTTTTTATAACAATAGAATATTATCAATCGTATTTCAGTTTTACATCTGTGTCGCTTTTTTAAGATGTGAACCAAATAACAATTACAAATTTAATAGAAATTTTTTATTACAAAACGACGTATTCTAGTAGAAAAAGCTTTAATATCCGAAATGAGAGATTAAAAACTAAGTGTGAAATGTGCTTGAAAATCGGACACTAATTCACCACATACCTATACTCTTAAACTCAGTTCATTTTCTCTCATATTGAAGTTAAAAAGTTCGAAGATCCTCTATACTTTAAAAACTAACGATCTATGTATCGTTACGATAGAAAAAAGAGAGATTTATCTTTATGTATCTCTGCTGTAAAGACTGTGGTGTGGGTGTGAATGTGACTATATCTATTCACAATACCTACAGTCAAAGCCACATCCACGCTCTCGTTCAATTTATTGAAGATCATGCATCATCAGTAATGATTGGTGTTGAAGATGGTTGGGATACAACTGCTCAATTTGTTTCAATAAGTGAATTATTACTTGATCCATATTATTGAACATTTGAAGGAGTTCAAACATTAATTAAACGTGAATGATTTGCATTTGGACATTGTTTTCCACATCGATCAAATCAAACAGCAACAAATAAAAGTGGTTTTACACCAGTTTTTCTTCAATTTCTTGCTCTTGTTGATCAAGATATTAATCATAAGATGTCAAATAATTCAAATAAAATCTTTTTAAGATGTGAAATCAATATCTAAGTGAATTTGAATTGAAACAATATTATCTTCATTTTCTTGCTTATCGTCATTTATCAAATCATTTTAAAAATTTTATACTTGATTGTGATTGTGAACGTAAAAAAGATCATAATTGGTATGTTGATACAACTCGTGATTCATTGACGGATGATATTACTGGTAAATTTATTTCATTGATCATTTCATAAAAGAAAAAAAAACTTCTTTTCTTTTAAGGTTTATGTCGTTGTAATATAAGAAATATTTAAGATTACATAACAAAAGTGAATCGAGAATCAGCTGGATTTTATAATTTTCTTTATTCATCATCAAATGATATTTGTGTTCTTCGTCCGTTATATAAAATGTTTGCACTTGATATATGAGATTTTTATTTAAGTGATTGTCCATATAACCTTGATATAGCTCTAGCTGAACATGAAGAACATTTAAATGATGCAGAATTAAAACAACGTACAAAATGTATATCAGCTATTTATGATGACATTGGTATTTCTTTACCAGATATTTTTAATGCTATTGTTTCTTTAAGAGAAATTTTTTATTTAATGGCTAAGTGTTTAAAATATATTTTCTTTTTCGTTCTAGGAAATGTCTACTATATTACAATATATAAATACAGAATCATGGAAAATTTATTAGGATTTAAATTGAAAAACCTGAGCAAGAAAAAGTTCAGGTATATGTGTTACAGAAATGATTTATTTTAGGCTTTGGAATCGCAATTTTTTTCTAGTGTCATGTAGAGTTTGGGATGATTTGACATGAATGCAAACATTTGTGTTTTTCTTTTTTGTCTTAATAGTTTTTGAAAACAAACAATATGTCTTAAAATGAGTTGTTTTTTAAATTAGACAGAAAAAGATACTTAAAAAAACTAAAATGAT